TAACTTTAGCAAGAAACTGGCCAATACCGAGCGTTCTGACTACGGAGTGAAACTGGTAAAGAAAGACACATGGCAGATGGTTGTAAAGGCCGGTGGGTCCTTTGGCAAGTGAATGAAAACAATAAAACATCTTCACTCCTCTTAGTATTTTTTCTGGAAACAGAGTCTTGCTATGTAGTTGAAGCTGGCCTTGAATTTGCAGGGATCCTTCTGCCTCAGCCTCCCAAGTACTGGGATTACAGGTGTGAGCCACCACACCCGGCCTCCTTCTTCATACCTGAGAGTGGATGTTATAATAAAACTGAACGAAGAGGCTAGGTGCCTGGAGATATTTATCAAAGTACTACCTCAAAGTGAAAAACTGGAACAATTCAAATATCTCACTAAATGGGAAACTAAGGTGTTGTCTCCAGAGATTAATAAACACCAACGAAAGTGAAAGTGACAGGAACACTGCAGAATTCATGCCATGCACATGAATTCAAGGTTAGGTGAAAACAAACAAACAAAAGAACAAAACAACCACCCAAAACAAAACAAAGAATCACGACTGTAGCTGTGTAAGTTTTTTATATGTAGGCACCCATCTGCACGTAGAGACAAAGTTTAGAGTCATACGTAACACACTGAGGGGGTTTGCTTCTTTGACAGTGTTTCCTTGATTGCTATCTTGAGTAAAGAGAAGGGAACCATCCTCCAAGCCCACGAGAACAGGAACTGAGCGGCTGACTTTCTGGCCACTTAGCTCCGAGTGCATGGGGGAAAACCAGGCATCTTCCCCAGGGAACACAGGCAGGGTCAGAACGGCATGGTGAGGTGGAGACTGTGTAGCAGGAAGGCTGAGGGCCCAGCGTGGACTGACCTTGTAATACTGCCCCATGTTGACTGTGGGGGGCGGGTACTGCCCGGTGCTGGGTTGGCTTGGCATCCTTTGCCCAGGGTAGTTTGGAGACGTGAGTGGCCTCGGGGGGTTCGGGGTGGGGTACTGGCCTGGCTGGGTGGGGAACTGGCTGTTTGGTCCGTATTGCTGGTTTCCATAGCTGGGCTGTGGTGGCAAAAAAGGACAGGGAAAAGCTTGTCATGTCGCAGAGGTGAGCTACTGTCTCTGACCCCCAGACACCCTCCCTGTCGTCCAGCACTGTGACATCCAGTGGCATGACATTCTGCCTGTTCAGCGCACAGGCCACCTTGCCACGAAGTCGCCATGCTCTGGGAGCTTGGGGACACCTTCAGAGTTTCTCAATCAGGCCACGTGGAGGAAGTTCAGTTTTTGCTTCCTTTGTGTCCCTTAGTGCTTCAGGGCTGTTTTCCAGGGTGACAGGGACACGCGGTCCATGGGATGCACTTCCAGAAGGGGGTGTCTCTGCACTCTGAGGCTGGACCTGAACCCCGCACTAAGCAGAACAGGCCCAGCAGTCAGCTCCTGGCCATTTTCAACCTGCTGTCCATGCAGAGGCTCGGCGAAGGACAATGAGTGTCACCTTCACCACCTTTCCTGTCTAGAGATCAGACAATGCTCAGGGCCACCTGCATCTCAGACACCGGGATGGGACATGCCATGGAGCCACGGGTTTCTCCCTGCCTGCTGACCCTCTCCAGAGTGACTCTTGCCGTCCAGACTCAGGGGTCCAGCAGGTGACAATTGCGCTCCAGTAGGGAGCATCTGGCATCAGGGCCCAGGACAGGCATTTGGTAGCTGTGTGACACGGATGAGTCCTTTGGTAAAACAGCCTGCAGGGTGCTCTCTAGGGCAGACAAATGGGGGGCACAGGGCTTGGTGCTGGCGCAGAGCTGATGGGCTGAGGACTGCTTTGGACTCCACTGAGGTCACTTCCCTTGGAGCTGGTGGCTCTAAGCCTGGGCTCACGGATGCAACCCCAACACAGGTAGCGGGGCCCCTGGGGGTCTGGAAAGAGGGCCCAGGAACTATGTGTGGCTGTGCGCTAGGAGTGAACCCAGCTGCCTGAGGTTCCCCCCAGGACAGCCAGGCCCTTAGAGAGGACTTTAACTGGTACCAGTTAGGGCCAGGGCTCAACCCAGCCTCCTGGATGTTGTGCCTCACTTGAGTCTTTCCTCTCCTGGACACAGGCCATCTCCACCAGCTAGCACCCACCAGCACGCTCTAGGGTGCTGGCTAGGACCTGAATGGACGCTCAAGGCTCCTCCTTCTTTGGGATGGAAAATCACTGCAAGCCGAAGCTAGGGGCCACAGTCTGGGAGCAGACAGAGGAAGTAACTTGGGGTGCAGGCAGGGGCAGGGTGACCAGTCAAGGTGGGCCTCCCAGGGTTGGGGCGTCTATTGGGTCAGGATTCTAGGTCCCTTACTGTGGCATTCAGATGGGCCAGTTGCTGCCTGTTTGTTTTCTGACTGTGCATGCAGACCAGGTGACAGTTCCTCCCTCCTCTGACCTCACACTGAGTTCCCTGCACCCCATGCACTCCCTATGGGTCCTGCTTTGAACCATTTCCTCTGCTGCTTCAGGCCCAGCTGCCAAGGCTGTTCCCTACAAAACAGACCGGGATGGTCCCTGGGGCCCACACTGCCTGACTGATCCCCGCCCTGGCACGCCTACACTTCATTCACAGGGCAGTCTCAGCTCCTACTCATTTTTTATTCGAATTATTTACTTTTGCAGTATTGTGAATGAACCTGGGGCCTTCACACTGAGTTACATCCCAGCCCTTTTTAAATTCTGAGTCAGGTTCTCACTAAGTTACTGAGCCTGGGCTCAAACTTACAATCCTCCGGACTCAGCTTTCCACAGGGCTGAGGTTACAGGCACTTGCCATACCTGGCTTCAGTCTCACTCTGCAGGGCAGCTGGGGAAGCCTCCGTGCGAGACTCCCTGGTTTGAGTTCCTCACCCAAAGTTACCCGGTTAGCATGGGTTCCCATACTCTGCATGGGCCAGGGTAGAGCCAGGCCCCGCCTTCTGATTCATGTCTTGCGGTGGTCACACCAGGATGCCCACAGTCGGGTCTCCAAGCCCTGCCCCCCATGCCTGCCACCAACTCACCTCTCCCGGGTATGGCCTCTTTATGCTCTGGATAGGAAGGGACTGGGGCCGGGGGCCCGGGTAAGTCTGCTGGGGCATCCGCTGCCCGTGTGTGCCAAAGGGGCTGATGCCAGGTGGCCGGGGCTGGTTCATGCCCATGGGGGGTCCGCTCATCCCTGAGGGCGTCATGCCAGCCGCCATGTTAGCGGGGTTCATGCTGCCCCCCATGGAGGCAGGCCCCCTCGGCCCGGGCTGGTTCATGAATTGGCTGTTATACGCCTGGGTGGGACCCATCTGGAAAGAGGAACAGACCTTCAACGGGAGAAGAAGAAAAAAAAAAAGAATAAAATGCCACATGCATTGAAAGTGCAGGGAGGGAAGGGTGGGGACTAAGGAGAGGGGGCACTTTCCCGAGGGGCTGCAGGAAGGGGAACCAGGCTCCGTCCTCTGCTGCCTTCTGCTGGCCACACGGGAAAGATGCTGGGGATGATAGGGTCAGGTGGGGTGCAGTCACTCCAATGCACAGGCAGCATTTCCAGGGTGGCAGGCAGGGGACGGGAAGGGGTAAGGGTGGGGAGGGACGCTGGAGGGTGGAGGCAGGTGAGGATGGAGGCTAAAGCCCTGGCCCTGCCCTCAGCCCTCACCCAACCAAGACACACCTTGTGCCAGTCCTTTCCTTTCTGCCCACCTGGCCATCGTCCCACACCCTTTGTCCTGCATAGCTATAGGGCAGCCCTTCTCCTCACACCCCACCCTACCCTTCTGATGGTCATGGGAGCCGGCCTGTGGGTCTGAGCAGAGCCCACAGATGTGACAATGACCTTTATTTCATCTTTACGTTGGGATTTTTAGGGGTGAGGGGAGCAGGGTCTCATTCTGTAGCTCAGGTTGGCTTTGAACTATGTAGCCCACACTGGCCTCAAACTTGCAGCGACCCTCCTACCTTGGCCTGAGTGTGCCCCACCATGCCCGACCACAAGGCTATCCTTAGACTTGGAGCCCACTCTTGGGCAAGGAGGGACTCAATCGAGCAACAGCCACACTCATCCCTGTATGCAGACACACAAGCCACCAACTCAAATGGAGCACGAGCACCCAGCCACACTCCCATGGGTGCCCTTCGAACCCCAACTCCTCCAGCTCCCCAGTGCACGTGGCTGTGAGCGCCCACACTCACTCCTCCCCCAGGCTGGTTGCCAGGCGAGGCTGGCCTGGGACATGGGGACCCTTACCGGTCCATACTGGTTTATGTCCTTGTTCTGCGTCTCCTGCAGGGCTGCCACGGTGGCCGTGGCTGTGGCAGTGGCCGTGGCTGCCGCTGCCGCTACTGCAGCTGCTGCTGCAGCAGCTGCAGGCTGAGTGAAGTCTGCTGGCGGCCTGGTGTGCGGAGGGATGCCCATGCCTGCAGGAGCATTCGGACCCCCAGGGTAACTGCAGGAAAGGAGGAAGGGACTTCAGATTCTGCTGATAAACCTGCAGCTGGGTAGGTCCTCCGCACTAGGAGCAAGAGGCGGGCACCTCTGCCAGTCTGCATCTGCTCCGTCTCATGCCCCCTGAGCTCCTCCCTGGGATTCCCTGCCTCTTCCTTCCAAGCTGCACGACTCCAGCTTCTGCTCCATTCTTCCTGCAGGGACCAGCAGGGCACAGGGCTTTTCCTAGGCTGCTGAACTATAGTTGCTCTCCAGCAATCTGCACCCTGCTCTCAGGTCTTCCAGTCGACAATGACCCGAGGCAGAGAAGGCCACTGTGGGAGTAAGAATCTCGTGGTGCTTCTACCCTTGCAGGCCCTGCATTGTCAGAACAGCCTGAGTGCTGATGGGACAACCCACATAAGGCTGGCAGCACTTGCCACATGCAGGGAGTTGGGACTCATCCTGGAGCCCCACCTGCACAGAGACTGCTCACCTGGCCCCGAAGCCCCCACTGCCGGGGTAGTTGGGCCGACCGTACATGCCCTGCTGGATATACGGCTGTGCTGGGCCAGCCTTGGTGGAGAACTGCTGCTGCTGCCCAGCGAACTGCGGGGAGTTGAGGCCGGGGTTGCTGGTGGTCATGCCGGATGCCATGGGGTTGCCGCCTGGATTCATAGGATTGTTGGCATTGGCCATAGGGTTCCCGAGGACCTGTGAGCAGAGAGTGGCTGTCAGCCAAGCTGGGACCCAGAGTAGAGAGGACAGAAAAGGAGGAATGGAGAAAGGGAGGGAGGGTACTGACTCGGAAGGACTACAGAGAAACCAGGGGACATGGATTGTTCCTGAGGTGCATAGGAGATTCTAAGGGGCAGGCTGGGGTGCAGGCTGCATGGAGCCTGAGAGCTTCAGCCTGTATGGGGTGAGGGGAGGACAGGAGCAAGGGTCACAGGCCAGTGTGTATGGTCCCTAGGGCTGGCCAGTTTCTGAGAGGGAGGGAGGCTGTCCTGGTGCAGGGCTGACCAAGACGCTTGCCCTGGGCTGGGGGGCGGCCACGCAGAAGCCCTGGGCTGGGCTGTCGAGGCAGAGGATCCTCCTTCACAGACCTCAGTAGCTTGAGGCCAGGGGGATACATAACGGCCTGCCAGTGGCAATCAGCCCCGAGCCTTCCACGTGGCCCACGGTGCGTGTCAGGGCAGTCTGGCACGGGGGAGGCCTTCTGTCAGGGAAGGAGGAGAGGAAGGGAGTAACGGGAGCGGAGGCAGCTAGACCAAGGGGGACCATCACAAAGTTAAGTCACAGCATTATGCTGAAATCTAACCCAGGCCAACCAGAGCCTGAGACCCTAACTTTGGAACCCCAAGGCCAAAAATCACACAGGAAGTTCTCCTAATTATCCACCCAGGATAAGCAGGGTTAGAGATGAAAACTGTTCATTGTCACATGATAGGCATTCCCTGGCGAAGGTTCTAGGAAAGGGACAGTCCACAGGGGCCCGGCTGTCGTCCTTTGAGGCAGGTGTGGACACGCATCTATAGTTGGGGGTACCCTGAAAGCAGGTCTCCCAGCTGGACAGCAACCCTAGGGCCCCAGTGGATGAAGGATGCTCCTCCCTGGAAGGGGCTGTGGCTGGGGCACAACTGGCTCTTACCTGGCTCTGGGATGTGTTGGTCACTCCCCAAACCGTGGTGACCACGGAGAGGGAGCCGGGAGGCTGGTTGGTGTTCTGCTGCCAAGGGGCAGAGTCATAGGGGAATGACCCATCACTGCAGAGGAGACGGAGGTGACGGTCAGGGGCCGGGGCAGGGCACGGGTGGCCGCCCCTCCCCAGCAGCTCTGGGAAACCCAGCCGGTCGTGGTGCCTGACGCAGAACAGGTGCATCCTGCCTGGTAACAGGCGCGCCAAAGTGACTGGCTCCCCCCATCCGCACGGGGCCAGCAGTGGTTGTCTTCCTCACACTGGCCCAGAGCCCACAGACCATGCAAGGAGGCAGTGGCATGCCCAGAGGCTCAATGTGAGCCCCTTCTCCAACCACAACTCCAAGTGGCACTGCCTCCCCGGGGCACAGTCCTGCCCCTACTCAGTAAAGCAGGAAGCACCTGTTGTCCTAGTCTCAGCTATCCCAGTCCATCCACCCACTCCCAGCTGGGTGTCTGCAGAACCCTGCTGACCCGGCTTTCGGAACGCAGGCTCTCTTACCCTTCTTTATGTCTCTGACCACACGGGGGCAGGCCTTCCCGCCCCCACCCAACTCTTATGCACATCCATGCTGAGTGAATCCCCCTCAAACACCCAAAACCTCTGTATAACCCAAGTCCTTCAGTGGCTTTCAGGGCTTACCAGGCAAAGGCCAAACACTACAGAATGAGTTACCTACCCCACTGCTTGACAAGTCCCCCCTCATGCCTCGCATCCCACCTTCAGCTCCATGTTCTCCCAGCTGACCCTGGACACCTGCACCCACTCCACCAACCTCTGCTATATCCCGCACCCCCTTACCCAGCCCACCAGTGCCCGCCTGGCTTAGTGACATCCCATAAGGAGCAGGGATGTCACCTCTTGCAGGTCCTGCGCTTGGGCCTACAGGGAGCATCCGATGGGACCTTCTGAGCAGCTGCAAAGGCGGGAGGGGGTGCAGCTCAGAAACCTGCCTGATACCAGCCCGAGCATTGGGCTAAGGCCGCCGCCACCCTACAGCTGGCACTGGCTTTCCTGTGCCACCTGCTAGGTGAGGGCTACTGAATTCCAGACATAGGCCAAGGGCCCAGCTCTGCAGCACAGCCATGCTGTGGGTACGATGGTGTGGGTGAGGCCCCACAATGCTGTGCCCTGCACGCAGTGGGGCTGAGCCAGCAGGTGGCAGGAAAGCACTCACATGAGTGGCAGGTGAGGGGCCGCTATACCCATCAGAGAGGCTGCCTAGTGCCAGAGGTCAGGGTGCCTGGGTAGGGCTGGGCCACACACACAGACTGAGAACCTGCATAGGGACTTCAGGAGGAAGACAGTCCTGGGGGACAGGCAGGCAGAGGGAGCCAGGCCAGCTGGTCATTGCCAAGGACACTGCTGGTCCCCTGGAAGGGCTCCCGCGGTAGTGGCCAGCCTGCAGGGCAGCGTGTCACCACTTGCATCCACCACTTCCCTAGCGGGTGCCTTCTCCCCTAGGCTCTGCTTACTTCCTTCCTGCCTCAGCCCAGAGGGCAGCTCTTTGAGGGGGGGCTGCCTCACCCCGCAGTGTTAAAGAGCCCTCCACTCCACCCCCAGCTGCCTGTGCTCTAGAAGCACCTGCCAACTCAAAGCTGCCCTGTCCAGGTCTCCAGGCTGAGTTTCAGGGTTTCCGCTCTCTGCCTCCTCAGGGTTCCCACAGCAAATCTGCCCCATACTGATCCTGCCCTGTGGCCCTTCGAGGCAGGTGGTGCCTGAGGGTGCAGATCTGGACCCTGCCTCACCAGCTCAGGGCACTGGAGCAAGCATCTGCACTTGGTTTCTCCATCTGTAAAGTGGACATAAGATGACACTGCCACTCTGCTCCACAGGTTGCAACTGGCTGCATCCTGGCCCAACCAGTACAGGGGAAAAGAGGAACTCAGACACCAAGCGATCAAGGGGAGTTGTCTTTTACATGTTGTCACTGGCACACAGCCATAAGTCTCTACCCAAGGTGGCAGACAGAGGACCAGAAGCCTGGAGTGGAACAGAGGAGCAGGGGAAGGTGGACCTGCACCGAGACTGTGCCATAGGGCCCAGGTGGGTGGCTGAGCCTTAGGTGGCCTGGCGCCTGTCTTCCCCATATCTCCTGTACTGAAGCTCCCACGACTCTTTAGGCCAACATCCAGTGGAAGCGAATGTTTCCATCCTTTGAGATCGTGACTGGCCAGGCTCAGGAAGTTGTCTTCCCAAGAGCTGTGGGGCTGCTGCCGCACTACCAGTGTTTGGATACCCACCTACCCACCTCATTCCGTAGGTGGGCCTTGTGGGTGGAAATGGCTCCTTCCTGTTTCGCCTGCTCCACACCCAACTTGGTGAGAAGCGGCTGTCCGCAGGGTTCCCAAAGTGGGAACCCCTGCCTGGCCGGAAGACCTGTTCCCCAGAGCAAAGCCGCATGGTGGCAGCGTGTGCTGTGCTCAGGCCAGGCAAGGAGGGTGTGTACTGCAGGGTGGCCACAGGCCTCCACCCGCACGTGCTGCAGAAGCAGGAGTGGCAGCTGCACATCTGTGGCTGTGACTCATCTGGTTTGGGGGGAGGTGGCTCTGCTGTCACCACGAAGGCTGCAGTCCCCGCAGGCCTCCCACAGTGGTCAGCCCCACCAATGTGATGCCGCTGCCTGGTCCCCACTTACTTAGGAGTTTTGTAAATTTATTATCAGTGGAGGAACAGTTATCCTTCCCGCCTGCTAACATAAAAGGAATCTAAGCCTTGGAGGCGTTTGTTGTTGTTCTACCTTCCCTTCTCTCATCAGCGAACTCCTACGTATGCCTCAAAGCTAGGCCTGCATGCTCCCTTTTATGATTTTCCCTAAGCCAAGACAAGGGATCTCTTTGCACTCATTTACCTACAGGATGTAGGAGGGGAAGAGTCATGGCTTTGCCTCTTAACAGCAATGTGATCTATGGGTCTCTCAATTCTTTCCACGCTTTTAAAATTTTTTTCTGGGGGATGAAGGGCCTACTACAGACTGAGCTTTGGTTCAGCTGTGCAAAAAAGAGCTGAAATCAGTGATAGCTGTGAAGCTGAGGCAATGTAACCAGGAAAGGAGTCAGATTTGACTGACCCTTCTGGGTTGAATGGCTGTGGAGGAGCACGTCAGGCCAAGTGCCATGGGGAGAAGGGGCCGGGAGCAAGAACCAGCCCGTGTGCCAGGCGTGGTGATATGTGTCCTGCCACTGCCGAAATTCCCCTTCTATAGACGCGGACATTGAGGTGCATCCCACTAGAAGAGGGCAGTGCTGAAACTCCAGACCTGTGTCCCCACCTGCTGCACCCAGGGATCACTGCTGTGGATGCCCAAACCCCACACCTGGAAGAGGAAGGTAGCACCCTTGATCCTAAGCCTTCCCCAGCTCCAGTGGGCTTTGGCTGTAATCAAATTAACAGCACAAATGAGATTTATTAGGCTCCCAATTACCATTGCAACACTGATTTGCATATGGACAATGGGCTGATCACACATAACTTTTTAACCACTCATTAGAAACCTGGAGAGGGAGGCAGCAAGTGTTGTTGGCATCTAGTCCAGGTCCCTGCAGGGACAGTTGGTGTCCTGTGTCTGGCCAGTGGCTGGAACCTCACAGGCCTCTCCTGGGCTCTCTGGTCTCAAGTGTGTCTCCACCATGGCCAGAGGTGAGGGTGGCTCAGGAAGACACTGACAACTCACGATGCCTACAGCACAGCCACACTCAGAAACTGAGGGCCCTCCCTGTACTATGCCTTCCTCCACGTTCCCTACACTGGGTACCGCAGTGCTCAGAGAGACCCAGGGCTTCACAGCTGTGGGTGGAAGAACCCTGGCCTGACTCAGCCTTCTGCTGTGACACCAAACCCCTGGGGTTCTGCAGAGGATATGACAGTGACCACAGCACCATAGGATGCTGGACTATGTCACCAAGGACTCTCCCGGTCTAGGGGTGGGGTGGACCTTCGAGTTTCAGGGATCCCTGGCTCCCTCCCCTCTCCACTTGTTCTCAGGACCCGCAGACAGGACCCTGGGTCTTTTCACAGCCAATCTCCCCCTGGCCCCACAGTGCCACCTTAACACGAAGGCCAAGGACCACAGCGACAGTTTCCTAACTGTGACAGTGCCTGGCTTTCTCTTCCATGTCTCCCTTCACATTACACTGGGGGTTTAAAAAAAGGAGATGGCCCTTCTAGGTTCCCAGGGAATGAGGGGTTTCCACCCTGGGGACATTCATGAGGTTCTGAGAACAGGGCTAGGAGCCCTGGACATGGAGAATGTGTGGGGTGCTGATGACAGATCTTAACTCCCAAATGCCCATCAGTGGGAAAAACAAGGTGCATTGTGGACTCAGGGGGTGACGCTCTTCAAGAAGCTGCTCCAAATGAGGTTAATGGCCAGGTATGACCCCCCTGACTCTGAATGACCAGCAGCAGGGTAACTGGCAGAGCAAGGCGTGTTGTTCCATGCAGCGCTCTGCTGGCTCTGTGTTCTGAGACAAGTCACCTTCCCACTTTGTATCCAGCTTCCTTTCCGGTTCTGCCGTCAGGAGAGGGGGTGCTGTCCAGAAGGTCTGTGTGATCCGTGGAGCTGAGAGGTCACCATGGACCCCAAGAAAGTCTTCCAGCCTGCCTAGCTCTCCTTCCTCGGAGACCACCCAGGGCCAGAAATAAATGCCAGATGGGCCTCCGAGGCCAACTGCTCTGCAATGCTGACCGCTGAACTCTGTCACCTAACTCTAACGCTGCCTCGGTGTATCTATCTGGCTCCCAATTCTGCCCCGTGAGCCTGTTTCCTGCTGGTGAGATTCAGCTCCTGCAGCAGACTCCTCATCTCCACTTTACCCTAGGACCCAGGAACCTCCCACCTGATCTTGGCAAAGGCCCGGCGAAGGGCTGCCCGCAGTCTCAGTGCATGCACTCTGCAGCTCAGCCACCAGTCAGGCAGCCCCAACCAGGTGTCTGGGGGGAGCGGCAGGATTCCCTCACTGCCCCAAACTGTGAGGGTGCTTTTGCTGTTATGGTTCCTGGCAGAGGGAGGGGAGCGGTGGTCAAAAAATCAAGAAGGCACAACCTAAGACAACCTGCAAGATCCAGCACCACAGAAAACCAGCTGGCCAGATGCCAGCCCTAAGGCTACATGGCCACACAGACAGGCAGCTTCACCATCTGCCACCAGACCCAGGGTCCAACAAGGCGGCAACTCTGGGCGCTAAGGGGACCTGTGGCCCAAGGGGCTTGTGACCAAGGCAAGAAACCATGTGTCAGGGTGCTCCTGCCTTGGCAGGGCACCAGCCTCTAATCTGCCTTACAAAGTATGGCTGCCCTTGAGTGCTCTCGGTGCCTCGGTGGTTGGCTGCGGGGTGATCGGTCTGTGGATCCCTCAGTCTGGCTGGACAGTAAGAGCTGAGTCCTGACTGCACATGCTCCTCTGGGTCATTAGCAGGGACCAGGACAGGGAGAGCAGACAGCATGACAGGCCCTGCTGTTTCAGAGTTAGCCTACACAGCGCTCTGAGGTACCACGAGATAATTAACTGGGGAACATGTGGTCCTCAGGGGCTGGTGCAGGGCACACCGACCGATTCCTCAGTGCTACCTCAGTCTGACTCGGCCCAGCCTTGCTTGGCTCTGTGTTATGGACCCAAGTGGCTCTGTACCCACCTGGGGTGGAGCCACCTGAGTCAGCCAAAGACCCTGCTCAGCAGGGAAAGCACCCTGAATTCAGGACTTCTAGTGCTACCTCGAAGCCTAGAGCCAGAGACCCAAGAGCCCTCTAGGGAAGGGCAAAGCAGGCAGGTGGGCACCAGGCTCTTACCATGAGGATTCACGCAAGACCCCAGGGTTGCGGTTCCTGTGTGCAGGGCTGTCTGCTCCTAGGCGCCCGGCCCTGCCCGCCCTCGGCAGCTCACGCTCACCTGTGCGACAGAGTGGGTTTCATGGAGCTCATGGAGTTGAGGGGGGGCTGCATGGGGAGTTTCCCAGGGGGGTCGCTCTGGCGGCTCTTCTGATGTCGGAGCAGCAGCAGGCGGCCCAGTTCCTCACACCAGGAGGACAGCAGTGCTGTGAGGAGGACACAATGTCAGTAGCACCAAGGCGACTGTGCCCTGCCATGCTCAGCCCCCCCCACACCCCTCCCCTCATGAAGTGTCCTTGCTGCCAGCTTTGGCCCCAGATCCAGGGGATACCAGGAGACCTGCTTGCTGGGCCTCCTAGGGGTGTTCCAACTGCAGAACGGGACTAAAGCCTTCCCGAGGGAGGACTCAATCATGGGCCAGGCCTGTTTGAATGGCCACCAGGCTGAGAAATCCCAGACAATGGACAGGAGGGCAGCCAAGGAAGACAGGAGGGCACACTGCCCTGTGTCAGGGCATAGATAGGCACTGTTGCCACCCCAGACTCAGCACAACCTGCCCTCTGGCACTTACAAATTACTCAACATGGCTTCTCCTCCAGGGTTCAGTCAAAAATCTTAAGGTCTAGCCAGGTATGGTAGCGTATGCTTGTAATCCTAGCACTCTAGGAGGCTGAGGCAGGAGGACTGCATGTTTGACACCTGCCTGGGCAGTTTAGCAAAAGACTTCCTCTAAAAATAAAGTCAGTGCAAAGGCCTAGGGTTCAACCCTAGAAGAAGAAGGCCGGGGGAGAGTAAGAAGACATCCACAGCCTTCCTGGAGTCAGTGACACCTGCCCAGTATTCACCCCACTGAGTACAAGGGCACAGGCATACACCTTCTGGTCACACCCACTGCTGGGCCCTGCACGGCTGGGTACCAATGCTGGGGAGGACAACAGCCTTCCAGAGCAGAGGGTGGAGGGGCAGGGAACAGGGGCAATCCTTCAGTGAACTGAGGCTGGGGAAAGAGCACTTCCTCCCCACTCCTGCTGTGAATACTTCAGGTACATGATCCAGGGCCTCTGGATGCAGCGGGCATCCACAGGGCCTCTGCTCAGTCATCTGGCTGGGTGCAGAGCCGAGCCCTCATTTCCAGCTCTTCTTTGGCCACACCTGCCCCGAACAATCTTGGGCATTCACTGTAGACAGGCAGACTGAGGTAGTATCCTGGGCCTGGCAGAAGCCTGTAGAGGGCAACACCTCAAGTGGCCATGGTCTCCCCCAGCTCCTTGGACTTAGTAAGGAACCCTGAGTCACCCCTCAACAGCACTTAGGCAGCACTACAGTGAGATACCAAAATTCACAGTGACCACTCGGATCCTAGATGTGGTTCCCCATCAGCCTGGTGCCCCAAGAGGTCTCTCCAGGGCCACTAGGTACACTGGCTCAGCTTTAGGTGGGACACAAAGATGCCCCGGCAAAGTTGGCCATGGTGGTGCAATACCAGCACTTGGGAGGCTGAGGCAGGACAATTGCCACGAGTCTGAGGCTTGGGCTACATACTGAGTTCAAGGCCAGCCTGAGCTATACAGTGAGACCCTGTCTCAAGTCCTCCCCAAAGATGCCCAACCCAAGAGGCAATCATGTCTGCAGGCTCAGAGAGGGCACATGGTTCTTCCCGGGAAGTAGGTGGGCTATCTCCAAGGCTACATCCTTATCTCTGTCTTTGGGGTCACCTGGCTGCCACATGCAGAGGGAGGAGGGCATTAAGGAAAGGCGCCCCCCCCCACAGCATGTCTGCCCAGGAACTGACAAGTGCTCCTACAGCAGGCATCCAGTACACATCTGCTGTGACTGGCAGGGCACAGTCTGTTCAGAGGCTGGAGCCGCCCGTAATGTGTCTCCAGACCACTCCTTTCTTCTCCCAGGCCACTTGTTAGGCTTCTTGTGCAGGGGCACCAGGCATCTGGAAACTCATTTGCATGCCAGGCACGAGGCCCTCCCGAAAGCAGCAAGAGGACGCTGGGCTGCCAGCACAAAGGAAGGCGCAGATGGTGCTGCCCGCCCCGCCCCTCCCAGCCCGCACTCTGCCTGGGTGCTGGCCACACTGTGCCCCACAGGGGATTTGTGGCTGGCCTCCAATGTTCCTGGCCAGCCCAGTGCCTGGTCCAGCCTGGCCCTGTCTTCCTATCCCTAGTGAGTAGATTCTGCAGAGGGAAGAAAGACAGGCAGCTTTGTGGCAGAGCCTGGTTGGGGGTCTGGCGTAGAAGAAGCAGGTGTGATGTGTGCTAGGGAGTGGTCTTCACCCACCTGGAAGGCTACATTCCTACAAGCAGGGACCCCACCCCACTCCTGGCTGAGCAGCTGGCAGCAGAGGCCTGGAGCAGTCCCTGGCAGCCCCACTGCGGGCTTCTGTGGCGCTTTTCCTATCAGAGCACACAGCAACAGGAGCTGTGTGGAGGCAAACGCTACCTGCTCAAAGGCATCTGCAGCCAAAGGAGGAGTCTAGGGACCTTCAGAGAACCAGGAAGACCTGCAGGGCCAGGCAGAGAGGCAGGTGGGGATTGCACCAGGATGGACTTGCGACCAGTGCAGGCAGGAACAACTGTGCCCAGATCTATGGCCTGTGTGCTGGCTGGGTGGGGCATAAGCAGTCCCAGAATGGAGTGCCAGAGTCAGAAAGGCTTGGTATGGTGTATCGGAGTGAACTTGGTAGTGAGAGGACAGTTTCAGTCCTAACCTGGACACCCCTCCTACCACCCAGGCAGCCAGCATGCCAGCTTCTACTTGTCCCTTTTCCAACTCACACTTGTGCACAGGGCTGGCCCCAAAGCGCCCCTTTCTTTGTTAAAACAGCAGCTAGGACCCCACATTCCTGTCTCACTTAGTGCAGCTTGCGGGGTCCCAGAGGACCTGGGCAATACATGTCACTCCCTCCCTGACCTACAGAGGACAGGTGGCTCCTCCCAACGCTCCTGTGGCCTGAGGTCTGCACACCATCTGCGCGGCTGGCACAGATGCCCTCCCAAACCTGGGCTGCCCTCCAAGGAGCTGAGTGTGATAAGGTGAGATGGGCCAAAGCTGGTAAGGGGTGAGGAGAGGCTTGTGCTCCACCCAGCCCCTTCCCTCATTCTCAACAGCTCATCCAGGCTCTGCCACTCAGGCCCTTCCGGCTGACCTCAGATGCCCACAGCTGGGGCTGGGCAGCAGCCAGGAATTGCCTTGGCCCTGCCTGCCAGCTCTGAGCCTCAACCCAGATTTCCAAGTGCTCCTCAAACTTCCGGGTAGAGACAACGTGCAGACACATACGACCCACAAGTGTAAAATGATTGGTCTGACTCTCTCGCCCCTCCTAACCAGTGTCTTTTGTCACCAGGCTTCCGCCACTCTAATCCAACCCATCTTAGGCCCCAAGGAGACTGTCTGATCACTCACCCAATATTCATCTGACAAACAGCTGCTGAGCACCTACTAGGTGCTGGGGCTCCTGTGGCCGAATGGACTAGGTTCACACCTTTGCTGAAACCCTTCGTGGTTCCCAACACCAAGTCCAAGCCACCCAGATGATGTGCAGAGCCCAGAGAGCTGGGAGATGGCCTCAACTCTCATCACAGTGGTTTAGGGCGGGGGATCCTGACAGTCTGGGATCAAAATCCAGCTCCGCCCCTACTGATGACCTTCAGAAAGCCACAGCTGCCCTGTCCCTGAGCAGAGAAAGGACCGAGTTCCCCATATCTGTCCCCAAGATCTTTGCAGCAATGCCCCTTGCAGACAGGTGCCACCACAATGTTCCTTAGAAAGGAGCAATGTCAGGGTGAGGCAGGCCTGGGGCACTGGAGGCCTCTCTGGCCCCTGGCGTGCCCTCCTTGGGAGCAAGGATGTCCATGTTTGTCTTTGCGCACAGCAGAGCAGGAAGTCACGACCAGCTGATCTCAGAGAGGCAGAAAGCGGGAGCTGAAGAGGCCTTGTTTGGGAAGCCAGGGAGGGAGAGGAGCTGCAGACAATGATGGGGCTGGGGTGGAGAGAAGCAGAGGCCAGGTCCCAGCATCAAAGGAGCAGACCAATGGTCATGCTGGCTCAAAAGGAGCAAGGAACCAGAGGAAGGTTGGGACAGAGAGGCCTGGGAATCAGGAAGGGTGGGAGCAGGGAGGAGGCCAAGGAGGGCATGAAGGGCAGGCTGCAGGATGTGGAGACCTGGATGAGGTCCAGCAGGAGCGTTATTCCATGTGCTACAGCTTGGGATCACACTCAAAGTCAAACAAAGGCTCCTCAAGGATCAGAGACCCCCTCAGCTGGAAGACTGGGGATAGAGGGACTGTGCATGCCTGGGACCCCTTCCTCCTTCCTCTGTGAGCTGTCCCCACATGCTGAAGGGCACGCCTGGGGCACTCTACTCCAGCCTGCCTTGCCCTGACCTCTGGCTGCCCTTTTCTTTTCCCTAAGAGACATTGTGGAGGTGCCTGGGTACAAGCGGGATTGCTGGAAATACTGTGGGGAAAGCGAAGAGCTTCTAAGACCTAGGAGACCCTGGGCACGAGGAACACAGCCCTCTGCCCTCAAATCAGACGGTAGGGAGTTAGGCGAAGGGAGGCAGGAAGGACCCCTGAGAGGGTTCCAGTGGGTTCACTATTCCAATAAAAATACTAGTGGCATTTCCAAATGCTTCTGTACCACCAGCCTACTAAGGTCACTCGACAGTCTGACACAGGGGCAGCAAATGCCAGGCCCTTTCTTCCCTCCTATTCCACATATGCTAAGATCCACTTGGATCTCAGGAGCAGCTCCGGCCACTCCGGGAGGAGTCACCACGAGCTGACTGCCTTGGTAGCCTGTAACCTTTGCTCCTCATCCGCTCTGGTCCAAGTTCCCTCCGCAACTTGACAGTTCTTCCAGAGTTATGGCAGAGGCATCCCATCCTCTGTCTCAGTCTGCATAGCTGCCTCTTGCCAGCCCACCCTTCACGCACAGGAGTCTGTCTGCACACACACACTGGTCACCTCTGGTCACCCTTGGTGCTCAATGGAGGCAGGCACCAGTCATGAGTCCCGCTAGCCAGGGGGAAGGCGTGTCCCAGGGGCCCAGGACAGGGTTGGAGGGGCTTGCGCTCCTGCAGCCCCAGCTCCCAGCACAGCGTTCAGCACATGCTACACAGCTCACACATGACTAATAGGTTTCCATGAGTCACAGACAGGAAGAACCCAGTACACAGAGAGGATGCGAAGACAGT